AACGGGGCTAAAAGATGATCCTGCAGGAGCACTGCTTCACATCGAACAGGGGAGCGGCTGCCTCACCCATCTGGCACAGGCCTCACAGAAGGCTCTGATAAATGCGCTCAACATGATCAATTAAAATGATATGAAGCACTCTGGTCGGCTCCTGGAGCAGGGAAGTCTCAGATTAGGGCTTTTTGGCAAACTGGGAATCAATTACTGTATATACTCGCGTATAAGCCGAGGCCCCTAATTTTACCACAAAAAACTGGGAAAACTTATTGACTCGAGTATAAGCCTAGGGTGGGAAATGCAGCAGCTACTGGTAAATTTCTAAATTAAATTAGATCCCAATAAAATTACATTAATTGAATATTTATTTACAGTGTGTATAGAATGAATGCAGAGTGTGTGTTTGTGTGTGTATATATAATGAATGCAGTGTGTGTGTGTTTGTGTGTTGTGTGTATATAATGCAGTGTGTGTTTGTGCAGTGTGTGTAAACTGGGTGAGGGGAGGGCAATTTAAATTTTTTTATTTTAATATTATATTATTGTAATATTATTTTATTTTAATATTATATTATTTTAATATTATATTATTCTTTTAATATTTGCATAATTTTGTTTAAATGGTTTTTTGTCCCCCCTACCTGGCCAGGCAACAAGCAGGGAGGGGGGACAAAAAAACATTTAAAAAAAAAAAAAAATGCAAATATTAAAATAATGATATAACAATAAAAGAATATTAAAATAAAATTAAAATAATAATATTGAATCCCAGGTGGTCTAGTGGATGGGCTGTGCAGGGGGGGGGGGGGTGCTGGCAGTGAGCTGTTACTTACCTTCCTGCAGCTCCTCTCAGCTCCCTTCTCCTCCGTGCAGTTCCCCTGTCAGCTCTGTTCTGCTTACAGTGTAAGTCTCGCGACACCCGCAGGTTCTCGCGAGACTTGCAGAACGGAGCTGACCGGGGAGCTGCACGGAGGAGAAGGGAGCTGACAGGAGCAGGAAGGTAAGTAACAGCTCACTGCCAGCCCCCAACAGGACCGCCGGGCTCATTACAATGTAAGTTGCCATAATACAGACATTGACTCAAGTATAAGCCGAGTGGGGTTTTTTCAGCACAAAAAATGTGCCGAAAAACTCTGCTTATACTCGAGTATATACGGTATCTCACTAAATGTGAAGATCTGGCTTGGAGCTCACACGATGTGCATCCAGCTGCCATGAAGAGCAGGCCCTGACACCATCCTCAGTGTTATTTTCACTAAAGTTAGTATGTTGCATAGCTGCCCTAACTGTATTGAAATTGGCTTTTTTTAAATTATATGTTTTATTACAATCTACATTTGCTTTGAGTTTATTTTATTTTGTGATCTCTATTTCCCAAGTACTACCCTACTTGAATGTTTGTCAAAAGATCATTGTTATAACCAGTTCCAGACAAAAATCCGTTCTAATTGCTGTCATTTACCAAGTTCAAAAACCTAAAACCCCTTGCTGAACTACTAGCACCTCTATCCCAATTTATGCCCGGTTAATTAAAATCTCCAATACATAACATGTTATCCAGTTGTGAAGCTCTCCTAATTTTCTGTTCTTTCTCATGAATGTCATCATTAGGTGGTTTATAAAACATATCTCAACCAATAATCTACGTCCCTTCTTTTGTCCAAGCAGCTATCTACCCATAAAGCTTTCACCCTTTTCTTGCTTTTAACCAGTGGCGTACATACCAGGGTCGCAGGGGTCGCGGCTGCGACTGGGCGGGTGGCCGGTCGGGCAGGCGGGCGCACAAGGGAGCACTCAGTGCTCCCTTTTCAGCTCCCTCGCGCACCGCACTGATACCGGAGCCAGAAGATGACGTCATCTTCCGGCGCCGGCATTCCCTACGCGGCGCGCGAGGGAGCTGAAGAGGAAGCACTGAGTGCTCCCTTGTGCGCCCGCCTGCCCGACCGGCCACCCGCCCAGTAGCCCAGCAGCACCACTGGACCCCAGGGAATCCCCCCAGCACTCCAAAAGGTAAGGAGGCTGGGGGGGATTACATTTAAAAAAAAAACATAGTGTTAGTGTGTGTGAGTGTTAGAGTGAGTGTCAGTGAGTGTGTTACTGTGTGTGTCTTACTGAGTGTGTGTGTTAGTGAGTCTGTTTGATGTCTGTTAGTGAGTGTGTGTTTGTCAATGAGAGTGTATGTTTTGTAAGTGAGTGTGTATGTATGTCTGTCGCTGAGTGTGTCTCTGTCAGTAAATGTGTGTGTATGTTAGCTAGTGTGTATGCGTCTGTAAGTGAGAGTGTGTGTGTCTTCAGCACTTACCTTTCTCCAGCGCCGGACTCCCTTGGCGCTGGGGATCCCTCAACCTCTCAGCTCCGAATGCGACCGCGCACGCATTCAAACCGCCCATAGGAAAGCATTACTCAATGCTTTCCTATGGACGTTCAGTGTGCTCCTCTAGCGGCTGTCAGTGAGACAGCCACTAGAGGCTGGATTAACCCTCAGTGAAACATAGCAGTTTCTCTGAAACTGCTATGTTTTCAGCCGCAGGGTTAAAACTAGAGGGACCTGACACCCAGACAACTTCATTGAGCTGATGTGATCTGGGTGTCTGTAGTGGTCCTTTAAGTGTGTGTGCATCTGCATGCACTGGCGTACATACCACGGTCGCAGGGGTCGCAGCTCTGTAACCCCTGCGGCCAGATGCCCACCGCCATGTGTTCCGGCCCGCGTGCGGGGGGGCCCACGGATCAATTTTCGCACCGGGGCCCCATGGGTCATGTGTACGTCACTGCTTTTAACTCATGGTTGACATACAAACATACCCCACCACCTTTCCTGTTTTGTTTCTATCCTTCTTAGATAATATTATAATAATGTGTAACAACTTAAGTCATGTGTCTAGTCCCAACATGTTTATCTCATATTGCTTATTGTATGCTATTGCCTCTAGTTCCCCCATTTTGTAACCTACCGTGTTCTGATCTTGTCTCACCCTCTGCCTCCACCCCTCTTGTGCTGAGCTAAAGCCCATGTCATTTATGTCCTCTCTATTTTCTAAGTTTCTTAAAAGCCAATACCCTCCTTCCTATGACTAAAGAAATGCATTAACCTTCCTGCATCGCCTGTTGTCTTTATAACTCCTTGCAAGCCCTTTTTTCAGTTTACTCCCTAATTCTTTATATGCATAGTTACATAAATATACACGTAGACTTCAAATATATATATAATTAAATTCTACATGCATTTTTATATATTTTTACATAACCAAGTAATTTTAATGATTGCAATTTGAGGGACCTGCCTGACAACCCAGGCTGAAAGTCCAGAGAATTTAATTTGCCAGCACTGTATTTTACCCTGTAACTTTACATGACAACCTAACACCTGCACATTGGGGGGAAAGGGGGTACTGTATGTATAAATTTTAAGTCTCATTTAATGGAGTACTAGTTCCATCAAAGGCTGCTGAGATGCTAAGATATTATATTAGCATTGCCTGCCAATCCATGTGTTTAAACAAAGACTTACAACTGTTGCTTGGCTATCCAAATGCTCCAATAGAAAAGTCTTTGCAGGAAAGCTTTTCATTGATCTAAGAGCAATGTTTGATGTCCAAACATTTTTTTTTTAGATTGGAAGTTGCATTTTACAAAGTCTTGCAAATATATACCTTTACGTGTACCATGTAAAACACAGTTTGAATGGGACTTTTTTTTGTAATTAGCAGTGTTTCATTGATTAAAGAAGTATATTCTGCTTGAAATGGATGGTCAAGGCTGAAGTTGAAACTCTCTTTTAAAAGACATTACAGACATTATCTTGATAAATGTTATAAAATATATACAAAAACATACTCAACATCCAGTGTTCACTAGCAAGATGCAGCTCTACAGCTAATGTAGGTATTAGGTAATGTCTGAAATGCCAATAGTTTTCCGCTCGTTATTTTTAATTACAGTGCTAGACAGATCTCACAAGCCCCTGCTCTGCAAAGCTCTAATGGACATTCAATTCTAGATTCATGATTCAAAAAGGTATGAATGAAACTACTCACGAAGCTAACAGAAGCTGTAACCATGACAATTAACCTAGAAATGATTGAAAGGAACACTCCAATGTTAAAACGGATATTCACTTTTAACATTTGGAGTGCTGCTTGCTTCAATCCCATCAGTGCCAGGGGTACTCTCCAAAACTACAAATAAAGATTACTCACCATTTACTCCAGGGGAGAGTAATCTCTCTCTGCCCAGGAAGACTGTCAGCAATGATAGTCTCCCCCGTCCTGTTCAGAGAAAATTGGTGTGTGTGCAAGACTTGACTGCAATCAAGTACAGAAATAACCAAATGAATGCACCACTGGTGCATTAGTCAGTGCTTCCCAAGGAAAGCTTGACTGCATGGGGGTGTTCCAAAACGGTCTCTAATTTCTCTTCAACTTAGCACTTTTATGAATTGGGACAAAGATGGTGTGCAGTTAGCACCTAAGTGATTTGGAGTGTCCCATTAAGACTAGAACAGCATGAATGGAAGGGGTGGGAATAAAGCTATATGTTCCAAATGTTACCACCACTGCTGTATGATAAAGACAAGGAAATTAAGCTCCTTCCAAAAACGATGAATCTGTAGTTAGAACTAAAGTGTCCATTTAATTTCCACCATTGGTAAGTACAGTGCACATGATATTTAAACAATGTAACAATATAGATTATGCTTAAATATGCTTAATACTTGAAACCAGAGGGACTGCGTTTTCATCAGTTATTAAAACATTTAACAATATTTAAAATACAGTACAAATACATAATAAAATAGTAGGTAAAAAAATTTCTTTAAAAAATAGAAACATTAGATGGGGTTAGATGGCTGTGCATTTAGGACATATTAAAGTGGCCCTGTCACTCCTCCCTCCCCAAAAACTATGCAAAGACTGTGACAGAGCCACTTTAAGGAATATCTTTTTTATTACAAAGCAAATGCATTATTAAATCTGTAAGTAAGTGACTTTAGGAGACTATGGTTTAGGAGTATTTTGAACCCCCAGCAGACTTTCTGTCCCGTGCATTTTCCTCCATCATTCGCCCACCCACTGCATTTACCTCCATCATTCGCCCATCCACTGCATTTACCTCCATCATTCGCCCATCCACTGCATTTTCCTCCATCATTCGCCCACCCACTGCATTTACTTCCATCATTCGCCCACCCACTGCATTTACCTCCATCATTCGCCCACCCACTGCATTTACCTCCATCATTCGCCCATCCACTGCATTTACCTCCATCTTTCGCCCACCCACTGCATTTACCTCCATCATTCGCCCATCCACTGCATTTACCTCCATCATTCGCCCATCCACTGCATTTATCTCCATCATTTGCCCATCCACTGCATTTATCTCCATCATTTGCCCATCCACTGCATTTACCTCCATCATTCGCCCACCCACTGCATTTATCTCCATCATTTGCCCATCCACTGCATTTACTTCCATCATTCCTGCCTAGAGTTTCTTTAAGACTAATTCCAGGTAGAAAATGCACAAGGACACATATTGTAAAATATTATGCTAAACACTTGAATAATTGAATGGTGGCTTTGCTTCACTACCAGAATTTGCTATTATTCATGTATTTTATGAGCAGAAGATATCTATATTTTATAGGGTTTACACACAGCCCATTGGCTAGCACAGTGGTAGCTAACCATCGGCACTCCAAATGCCGTAGACTATATCTCCCCAGATGCATTGCAAGCATTATGGTTGTAAGAGTATTATGGGAAATGTAGTCCACAACATCTGGAGTGCCGAATGTTGCCTACCCTTGGGCTACCATAATGTCTATATAAAAGTAAACAGTAAAATGGAACTCTGATCTGTACTTCAAAGCAGGAGTGCCATGACAGAAAAGGCACAGGTCAATGAATACAGTATAACTCGTACCACAGCAGGAATGTTCAATTAGTATCATTTTCTACAACTCACATCCCGGCTATCCAATTAAAATGATAGGAGTCCTGTAATGAAAGGACTCTGGAACGGTATCTGAGCATTTATAATAAATAAGAAGAATTCAAAAACATCCTCCAATGTCAAGCTAATCCACCCCAATGTAAAAAAGACAAAACTCAATACTATATAGGTTTATAAAGCCATATATACAGGATCAACCTGCTCATGGCAAGGAATGATTAGTGAAGTGACATTTTGCGACACAGAGCCAATGCGAACGGAGTTACAGGGAATATTGGGACTTCATACATGCACTAGACTCAGCGGCTTTCTTATACATGTTCCTATATATCTTCTCCATGCTCTCTTCAAACACTTCTCTGTGAGTCTTTCCTCTGTACACGGCTGCTCTTTTAGACCAGTATTCCCCATTGTCCAGGTGAACTAAGTTCTCCACCGGAGACGACTGACTGCGAAAAGTGACAAAAACCACATTAAGAAAATAATAGCCTTTACGGATATCAATAGCACAGTTCTTTATATGGCAATAGTCACGTGAAAACGATGCGGTTTCTTTACTCATAGAGAGCAGTCTATTAGCTAAAATCAACTTGATTGAGTTTAAAACTGCAGATTCTCAGGATGCATCTTGGTGTAACATGCCAAATGTCGATGGCACTTTATCAAATAATGTTTTTGAATTACACTTGCATCTAGGCTGGTTCTTTAGGCTTCCATTGAGGATTGTTTTTAAAATATTTAAGAATGCAAAAATTTGTGGAAAATGAACATTAAATATTACAAAACCACTCCAACAAGTGTGTTAAGCAAAGAAAGTTGTCGACTTTCTACCTAACTCTGAATATATATATCAGACATACACAAAAGTTGTGCTGATGGTTATATACAAGCCTTGTGTTTTGGCACAATATTTCAAACAATGCTAGCTGAAAGGTAGTAGTAAAAGGATGTGCAAAGTTTGGCATCTGTATTCCACGTGGTTTCCCAAAACATTTAAAAAGTTGATTGCCTGATTGACAGACAATAGCGGCATACTGACTGACACATGTAAACAGATATGGCAACGTGTACTTTGTCAGATTCCATAGTTAGGGTCTATAAACCAAAACCACTGCATTAAGATGTAGTGGTTTTGGTGCTTAGAGGGTCCCTTTAAGGCATATTACTAATACACTGACCACTCACTATCCAGATTCATAATAATCAACGTGACTGCCTCACCTGGTCTGCAGGTCACTGACGCAAAGAGAGTCATTGCACAAAGAATCACGACTATGAGGGTTTTTATCGAACACGCTCTTGTCCTGGATAAAAAAACAAAAAAAAACGGCAGTTTTAATGCAATATAGAGGTCAGATTAAAAAAAGTTGGGGAGTCTATGGAACACCTGAGTTTTGACTCTGCAAATTTACACCATTATAAGACACCTAATAACCAATTTGCTCTAGGTTGAGTTCTTGTATCTTTAAGAACTTTGAATAGCATTTTAGGTGATCTGTGTCCAGGAAACTCATCACACAAGTGAGCCAGGTGACATTAAGCCAGAATGGTGTCCGAAGCGCAGAGGAAGACTCGGCACTGGAGGAAAGTTAAGTAAACCTTATTTATTTCTTTACAGCACAAACTGGAGAAGGGGGCTAAACGAACTAAAGACATGAAGATCATAGCGTTAGGAATACAGATTTGGATTTCTAACTCTATAACCGTAACTTTAAGACCCCACTACTGGAGTTTCCCTAAATTTGCCCATTTGTGCATGGGAGACACCCGTTACATCATTAAATTACATACATATATTTGCTGTGGTACATGCCAACTATAGAAAGTGGTGACTTTGGTCAAGATTGTCAACCTGTGAACAATATACGCCAATGTATGAACAGACGCAACCCAACGGCGAATGTTAGCAGACAGAGATGAGCTAAACAATGAATGTAAGCACAGCAAAACTTTCCACATTTATCCGTTGGCTAAAAAAGTTAAACAAAAAAAAAGACTTGAAAAAGGTATTATTATGTAAGTTGACACTTATACGAATTGAATTTACCAACCAAAAATAAATGTTTAACCATGACTGGGAGACACATGTTTAGCTAAAGTACAATTTGATTCATTGTACACAGCTGGATATTCCTGACAATGGTAAGGTACGCAGGCAATAATGCATGCCAAGTATTATCTAGTTAAATATTTATTTCATGTGAACTATGATAAAATGCTCCTAATTCTTTAAATCAACTGGAGGATTAAGTTTTTTTCTTTTGTTTTTTTTTTAACAAGAGAAATGTGAAGTAATGAGCCACAAATTGATAAACATTTTTAATTAAATGCTGCAGAATTGAGAAAGGAAAAAGAATAATTCCAGTGGGTTATAAATTCAGAGCATCTATGGAGTCCTCGGAAATCACTGGTGCCTACCATTCACAGTTCAGCCTTTAAACTCCTGTGGCAGCAGAACATTTGTAAAACGGCACATCAGAGTCAAATTTCAAAGCTCAGCGAGCTCCCATGGTAATATGTTCTTGTTAGACATCTGATCATTTGTACTGGTTAGCTGTAATTACCAGACTCTTAAAGCAGTAAGCTTTTTTCCATTTCTGCTAGATTTTTCATTTCTTTACTTTTTTAATTCTTTATATAAAACTACTTTGACAATATAACAATTCAATCCGTGAACAGTGAAACAAAAAAGGGGTTTGTTCAGCCTTTCTGTAACGGAAGATGATTGAGCACTGAATTAAACAAAATGCAAAATAAGAATCAATATGGTGGTTTTTTTATGTATCATAGTCGAAGGAGGGAGCTGTTCTCTATAGGAATAAAGGCTATTTGCATGCATTTAGAAATAACAGAAATGCTGCGTCTGCAAGAACTTCTGGTGAACAATGACACTCTAAAACTTTTTTTCCTTTACAAATTCATTATTTTTCAGGATAGAAAGAATGACATTAAAAATAAATATAGACTCCGCTCAGACAACAGAAGTCACAAAGAGAGTGCAAGCAATTATCTTGTGTTGGTCATAAAAAGCATAATGTAGGAGTCATTAAAAGCAAATTACTTATTTTTAGCTGCAGAATTGAATCACCTGTATTTTCTCCAATGCCTGTGTTTCATTTGTATCACAATACTTTGCATGCATGAGTATGTATCTTAAAGGGCTGCTGTCACTTCTCAGGAGTTCAGTTATCAAATTTATGCTTTTTATTTTTTTTTTTTAGGTTTGATAAAGAAAAGAAAATGTAAAAAGCCACACCTCTGTATTTAGCTCTCTCCTGGAGATTGCCTCTAAATTCATTGGACCTCAAACATGCAGGCATTAGTCTGACCACTAGGCAGCTGCTAACAATAAATAGTTTCCTTCTCCAGTGCACCGTCCAGACCCTTTTGATGCTGGGTAGAGTCTACTTAAGATGTTTTATGCTAGTAAATAAAAAAAATAAAATAAAAAGAGGAAAGCTAGTTTTATTGCAGTGCTCTTAAACTGGGTGTCTATTAAAAAAGAAAAAAAAAAAAAAAGGTGAAGAATCGCTCAACTAAAGTGCATCAGTAACAGAAACATAGTGAAGCTCACTGTAGCTAGTTTGGGTTTTTTTGCAGAAAAAAAACTCAACTGAAATAATGTGAAAATTTAAATTATGCATGGTTTAAAATGTCAGTATCCTCCATATGGTTATTAGGAATTATCTAATAGGAAATAAACGAGATGGGATCACAATTCTGTGATAATGCACGTTCATTGATTTGGCCTAAGCATTCTGTTGGATATACCAAGAGATAGTGGGCCAAACTGTGCACAGGCAATATGTGATAGGTGATCTTAGGGAAAACAACTTGCCATTACTGTACCATAGACCATTTCAGAAATAACAGGACAAAACTCTTGGTGAGGTCAAAACATTGTTGTTGTACTTCGCTTCAATAAACTCTGGCACCTTTTGAACTACTGTGTGCCCTGGACTCTTTTTGATCTACAAATAACATGACACACTTATTTTAATTTCTTGATCCATACAATAAGCATTCTGAATAGCTGAAAATGTATACAATGAAATATGTATGCCTCTTCTGTTTCAGCTGGGACGCAAAATTAGCTGTGGTGATGTCCCACACCGATCAGCATCTTAACATGATTTGTAAACATGTATTGTGTGTTCAAACAACACGTAACATTGATTTACAAAATGACACTGAGTAAAGAATCATCATAAGGAGAACTTACAAAATGAAGTCGCTGCCTGGCACCGTGAGTCTTGAGCATATTTTTTACCCGATCATGAATCTCCTCCCAGTTGGCCGTCGATCTACTTTCAGATTGAAATCTGCAAGAGATGGTACAATTAGAACTTTATTTTTGCATTCCTAAAACAAATACATTTCAGAGCATCAGAATGGTGAAAAGGATAACAATGTTTAAATGCTCTGTTGGGTTAGGTTTCTCAAAATATAATGTTTTAAATTTCCAGAGAGCTTTTTTTAACGTTCCATCATAAAAGGAAAGAACCATAGTCTGTGCAGTCATTTACAATATACAGTGGGCTCATACCCGTTTAACTGCTGTCTGCCCACTTTCAGTAACAGGGTTATCCATGTTCCCCCTTACATAGGGACAATACCTTTCTAAGTCAATGGGAAAGCTAAACAGAGATTGTTGGTTAAGTAAAAGAACACTATAGACAACCGGACCACTTGATCTCAATTAAATGGTTTGGGTGCCATGGTCATTTTAACCCTGCAATGTAAAATAAATAGTTTTTTTGTTTGTTTTTTTAGAAACTGCAATGTTATGTTGCAGGGTTAAATCCACTTCAAACGGCTGTCTCCCTGACAGGTACTAAAATGTGCTTCCTCTCCCAGACAGAGTAGAATGATAGCATTTGAATGGAGGAACGCAGCGTTTGGCCCGCTCATGCCTAGTTCCAAGCCATTGCTTCTATATGATACTGATATTTAAATTTCGGTAGAGATATTCTAAGTAGAAATTAAGTTTGCATATACTGATCTATTGTTCATTGTTTATTTGTACCTGTTGATCACACACCATACAAGTCCCTGAGGAAGTCCTATTTTGTTGGATGAAACGCGTAGGACCCCTGGTGGTGACATAGAGGGACTACACTGATGATTTTATATCTTGATGTAAGTTATTAAATACTTTTTTGTACTTCACTCTGAATGTGCATCTTATATTCTTTTATATACATTTCTTTCCTGAGCACATACATGCCAATATATCTATGGAGATTTTAATCCAGACAGAGGATTTGGAATTCCTATTTTGAAAAGGAAAATATTCAAGGCTTGCAAACTTCAGCAAAAGTGTGAGTGGCCATTTGTGAATATAACTTCTACAATTTGTCATCATACACAGTTATACGCTATGTTATTTTATTTATGATTGGTTCAGCAGATCATCCCCCTTTTTTTGCATATACTGATCTGAGCAGGTTTCAAATTGGTAAACTACCAAATCTCTCTTGAAACCAACCACTGACAAATCAAAACGCTAATCTATCTAATAGACCCAGATTTGATAACTGTAACTTTCTATCTTAATTCGTCTTCCTGACTCCAATAAAAAAAAAAATGCTACCTTTCCTGGCATATCTTCACAAAATGTTCCTCTTCCGTTGAGCCACAGTAAGAAGCCTTTATTTGCTCCTTGTCTGGTCAAGTCCTTAAAACACCCAACAAGATTACCATTTTACTAAGTACATCCTTACTCTTCCCTCAATGCTCTATACAGCACCCACCATTAATTTTCCAAACCTCTATTTTTTTTTTCTTGAGCTGTGCGCTCATCTAAATTTAAACGTAATCTCGGACTCTCTAGCCCCATCTAAAAAATGATTTCTTAATAGCAGCTTGCAAACCATTCTAATAAGCCCACCATACATGAAGAAGTTACTTTTAATTAGGCTGCCACACAGTACACCCTCTCACTGATGTGAGCCTTACTATTTTTATTTTTTACAAGCCTAGGGAGAGAAAATGTCAAAATCATCACGTTAATGCTCAGTTTGTCCATCAATGCTCTGTAATTATACTCCTTACTCAGAGTATCCAAATCCGCAGATGGTAAAATACATTTGAGTACAGTTTACAACAATGTCCTTCAAAACTGAAATTCTTGTCTGTTATATCCAGAGACTATTTTGTTCCCTTCAAATCTAGATCTAGACATTGAAAGATATTCTCCTTCTGTGTCTCCGATGTCTATACGCTTGGGCTGATAAATGAAGACATCTGTTTTTCCACTTACATATTTTGTCCATGAATTTCCCTAAAGAGACAGGGAAGGGCCTTGTGTGAATAAATGAATCTAGGAATAGCAGCTAAGCAACATTAAAATATATATCTCTAAGTACACCTGCAACGGTTTAATAATTTTTTTTCTCTCTTATTAGTGATATCTATTACGCAATGTTTATATATAAAAAAGTTTATAATAAATACATTCCGTGACCATTATATTTGTTACAATTCATAAACACAAATAGCCAAAGGGAAAATTCAGTGAGCGGTGTACAAAAAACATCTGGCTAATGAAAGAAGTCAAAGGATTCGGCAAAAGGACCACAAAGTATCAACAATAACTCTTAGCAGCACAATTTGCAGCAGCAGTGGTCAAAAGGGCATCTTCAACTGTCTGCCACAATGAAGAATGAAACAGAGTAGCCCTCATGTTGGCTACTCTGTGGGCAAGTAATCACCAAAACTGGGCAACTGAATACTGGAAAAATGTCACTTAGCCCAGGTAACCTTAGCTAATTGACATCCCTGTGATAAATGCATTTATAGCGTTCATTTGACTCTAATATGAAGCAAAACTTTAATAGCACAGTGTAACAAAAAGAAGTCTTGCTGACCATGCATGCCCTCGGCCCACCTATCCCAATGTGTTTCACAGACTTCATAACCCTAATGACCCAGCGTTTAGACAAAAAAACAAAACAAAAAATACAATCAAGTCAGCATTGGATACAATCAAGTCAGCATTGGATGAATAACAAAAAAAAATTAAAAACAATATTTTGATTGCCATATTGAATCCATGGTACACAGAATATCATGTAAATATAAAAAATATATTTAATAATGTGCCTGCTGAAGACATGGCGAGTGGGTTTGTCACCACAATTAATGTCATGGACAACATGCTGGTCCAGGCTGCCAATACGCCAAGCACTACTGTATTACTGGCATATGTGTTTAAATACACCTTCATGGAATAAAATAGTATTTGAGAGCTTGAAGACTGCAATAAACTGGGTATCATCACACAGTGCGACCGTATTGTGTGATATGTCTGCCACTGAGAATTTATATTTTATTAAAAGAAGTACTGTAGTAGGCATTCGTCTCAGGAGGAAATCGTGAAATTAAACTAAAGGTGTCAAGTATTGTCCCAAAGACGAAGATCATTTAATTAATATTTTTTTTATTTGAGATGTCTAATATATATTATTGCCTGTTCCTCTGGTTTGTGCTGTCAAATTGCATTACATGGAAACCACTAGTCTGTGCTGTGCACAAACTAATGGAGACACAGCACCTATTGTGACAATCATTGCAAGGGCTTCTAAGCTGTATTTCTGATTTTCTATTATTTGTAAAAACGCCATTGAATGCCACGGCACTGTACCGGATGACAAACATGCTGACATACAGTTAAACTTAGTTGGCCTCCCCAGTATCTTTACCATGCGATGTTTAGAATAATCCCTAAAATTTACATTTATTATCAGCAGCAATATCCATGGAAGGTGGAAAAGTCCAGTGTGACGAGGTGATACAGGGCTGAAAATCTGCATTCGCCACAGGCAAGGGAAAAGTGACCCCCTGATGCTTTGCCAGCTTTATGGGTGAAGCAGTCCACCACATCTGGAGTGCGGAAGCTTGCCCACCGCTGCCTTACAGAGGGAATTGGAAGGGGCTTTTAGATACACAGACAGTGCTTTTCCTGCTGCACGATCAAATCTCCTTTTAGTCCTACGATCAAGACACAAGCACACATTTTCAAAAATCTAAAAATTATTTATACATTTTTAGTAGTAATAAGCATGTGTAAGTGAGCCTATCGAAGAAAGTATTAAAATACCTTAAAGGCATTAATTTGCCCTGAGCATCCCATGTAATGGGGGGAGAGAAGGGGAAGAGTTGCTCTTATGGGCACATGCCTTAAGAAGTTAAAAAAGAAAGAATGCATGTTTGTGCTAATGTTTCAGACATGGGGAGTAACAATCAACACACACACACACACACACACACACGATTCATGCCCTCTTTACAAGATTTAGAACGTTGCAAAAAAAACAACAACAAAAAACACAATATAACTATACTGTAATCCAGCACTGGGACAGGTTCCTGTCCTCCACCCTTCAGTTGTCACTATCTCGATCCAATCCAATGAATAGAGAAGCATTAGCAGCATACGGGTGTCATCACATTATGGGATGTCTCTCTAGTGATCATTCTGACAGGCATGTTCTCTGGTGAATTTAAATAATTTCAGATCTCTGAAACAGCAAGGCTTTACATTGCCATAGGAATGGGACAGGGTTTGTCCACCAAAACCAGTACATTAAGATGAAGTGGGTTTGGTGCTTAGAATGTCCCTTTAATGAATAGGTAATATAACATTTTTATTTGACTGCTAATATTTTTATCTGCACATTACAACTACAAGCAAATAAATAAATAAAAAGATATTTTCAGCAATTAATTACACCTCAATTTCCATGCATGCACCTTTCCCAATATTCTTAATAAGCTGTTTTACTTTGAAAAAAGCAATCACTGAGGATTGTATGGTCACTGGAATAATAAAAGTATAAATGTCAAATATAGATATTGAAAGGCCATTCAGTTATCAAAACGATGTGTAAAGTTATAACTGTTTAAAACTGAAAAGTGGCATGTTATGCATGAAAAGAATGGGACAGGGTTCGTCCCATGGGTTGCAACTTAAAAACAAGGCATAGGCTGTAGTTATAGCAGCTGCTATTAGAGAGTTCAAGATTGTCACTGAAAGGGACACTAA